ATCATTTGTATGTAACATAAAGCCAGTTCTTTCTATCAGAAGCTGAGTATTTTGAGACAAATCCAGTTCTGGCAGAAAATAACATGGTCACAAAGCTTTTTAGTGTGTGTGCCAGTGAATTAACGACATAAAGATAATAAGGATCTATCACCAAGGATTGCCTTTGAAGGCCATTGGTGCAATGACTTTTAAAAGAGCCTTTGCCTATGTTCCCCCTCCTCCCCTGTTCCTGCCTTTGGCAAAGTCCCATCAGTTTTGTTAAATGTTTTATTTTCTGCTGAAAATGCAGGAAATTTAGACAACTCTCTTGGAATCCCCCCAAAACTAATACAAACAAGATACACATGCGCCTCTTAAGGAAACTGAAAATAAATGATTTGAAACTATTTGACTATATAAATCCTCTCCTAAAAGGAAAAGGAAGTTTATAGAATGAGGCAACTCTGACTGCTGTTAACTAGGTAAAATATTCCCACAACTGTCAACTTGTCTATTTGATATTAAATTAGTACTTAGCATAGAATTTCATTCCTAACCCATGCAAGCTATCAGAAACATCTGAAAATGGGATCATTTTCTTAGGGTCCTTGTTCTTACACTGAAATTTTCTGTAGTAAAGCAAACATGCCTCCCCGCGCCCCCCTTTTCTTCTTCTTTTCCTTTTTCTTTTTTTGATATGGGCCCAATTCCTGTTATGGAAGCTATACAGAGGAAGAAGAATAAACCATGAATGAAAAGTCACACGTTTTGTCATCTTTACATATTTTGTCACTCTCCTGATTAGCCATCAGGATGTATCTCTAGCAAAGCTTATTTTGACACAGTACAGAGGAAAGGTAGTTAGTTTTTAAACACATACTGCTTTTATAAAACCTTATTTTATAAAAAAGTAGAAGACATGTTTTCTTTTTTAAATTTTTATTAGCATATTATTGTACTCTGGAGGTTCATTGTGACATTCACAAAAGTGTTTTTACTTAGTTAGATCCCCCCCCAATAGTTCTCCTTTATCTCCTCCCCCCCCTTTTTTAGAATAGTTTCAACAGGTCTCATTTCATTTTCATACATGAGTATATATTTCCACCATATTTACCCTCCTTCACACTCTTCTTAGGTCCTATTCCTCCCACTAGTACCAACTCCCAGACAGCCTGTTTTACCTTTCTATCCTTCACTTTTGAAAAATGACATTTTTGCTTGTTTAAGATAGCTATACAGGGAGTTTCAGCATGACATTTCCATGTACATATGTATTATATCCTGAATTGGTTCATCCCCTCCATTTTTCTCCTTTCTACCTTAGTCCCTTTCTTATGGTGATTTCAACAGATTTAAATGTTCTGTATTCATTCTTGTATAGAAAGTGCATCAACCATATTCACCTTCTTTCTTCTTTTATCCTCCTTCTCCTGTTAGTTCCCTCCCCTTAGCGTGACCTGTTTTTCATTCTTGTCCTTCACTGTGTAAGTATCTGTTCATTGTTCAGTAGCATTTTTGCCTTGGTATTATACCTGTACATGCATTGTACTCCAGTCAGTGTAACTCCCTTCCACCGCACTTCCTTGCCCCTTTTCCCCTGTCTTGTGTTGTCTAACAGTTTTCAGGGTGTTTCCTTGTGTCTTGTTCCTACAGAGATGTGATGTATTTCATTATTATTGACTATCTTTCTTTCCTTTTTTCCTTCTTTAGTCTCCTCTACCAGTCTAATAATGCATGTTTTTATTTTTGAAAAACACTCTCATACTGCTAACCTTGTGTTACACAATTTTAAGAGCCTTACAAATGCTACCCAATTTGAAGTTTCATGGAAAAAAAGTATCAAATAGGGGACGGAATGTCTAGCTCAGTGGAAGAGCTCACGTTTACATGCACACAGCCTTGAGTTCAACCCCCAGCACCCCCCCACAAAAAAACCCAATAGTGTTAAATACCATTTGAAATTCTAGCACTCAGATAATGATTAGATTAGGTAACCTTTTAGCTCTACATAAATATTGAGGTTTGGGTGATTTTTTTTTTCATTTTAAAGAAGCTCCCCAATTTCACACTAATTTTTCATCTTTTTACAAGTAGTGATTATTGCTCAATAATACTTTTTAAAAACAAAACAAAAAGAATTTCATTAGCTTACTGCTGTGTACAGTGGGTACGTGCATCAGAATCAAGTCATGGTAGCAACTTGAAGATTAAAGTTAACTTGCAAATCATATTTATTTGGATAGTATCTCTTGGAAATGACAATTGGCCAAAAGCTTGATCCATTGTTTTTAATAAATCAGAATCTCCTGGTATATAATTTACCCCTCTGCCCATGATTATTTCATGATCTGCTTGGTGCCTGGAAGCAGAAGTTGATCTTCCAGCAGGAATGGAAGGACCCACAGAGTGTGGTTTCTAGGAAACAACTGACACGATAGGGATTGTGGCTATTTCTTAAAGGATGATTAAAATAGTGGTTAGCAGAGAACTGTTGTTACTTAAAAATGGAAATGAATTAGTTGCAAGAATTCTATTTCCTCTATTCAAGGATAGGCTGGCTGACCACTTGGTATGATCATTACAGAAGGGGAGGGAATTCTGAGCATTAAAGGGAGTGGCCTTCGTGTCTAGTATGACTTGTGAGTGTGCTTTATGATTTTATGATCAAACTCTAAGCTTCCTAACTCAGCATTGATCAAACTCTTTCATCAGACTCTAAGCTTTCTAACTCAGCATTAACCTAAAGGATTACTGAATCAAATAAAATAGCATATGAAGCAATTCTTGGTACAGTTTTGAGAACAAAATCAAACCAATCAGTATAGATACTTGACTTCAAGGAAACCTCGTTATATTTCTCAAGAAACAGTCTCTTTGAGAGCACTTATGGGAATAACATAATTGGCATCCAGCTGGTGCCAGCTGATAGGGCTACCTTGGTAGTATACAACCTGCATCCAATAGGACTAGCAGTGCCTATTTAGTTGATAAATATTTAGAATTGCACCCCTAGATGTAACAGGAAGGAAAACTGCCCTGTCTTATGAAAGGGGTATTTGTGCTAATGCTTTGGAGACTCTTTATATTAAAACTGTAATAACTAAATTATTTACAGTATTACATGGTAAAATAGACATGACAGAAAATTATATTCAGCTACTCTTTAAACTTATTCTAAACTTCTAAATTGTGTATAATTTCTTTTTTGCTTCTCTAATTGTTTTACAACATTAAACGAGGGACTGGCAGAGTGGCTCAAGTGGGAGAGTACCTGCATAGCAAGTGTGAGACCCTGAGTTCAAACCCCAATACCACCAAAGAAATTCAAAAACATCAAAAGACCAAAGATTCTTGTTATCCTGACAATCCAACAAAATTTGATATCATATAAAATATCTTAGCTGTATCTTCCCACATTATATTTTCAGACAATTTAAGTAATCCTAAAAACTGTATTTTTCTTTCCATTTAATTTATATACCTATAGCTGAGCATACTTTATAAAGGTATGAGAAGTTAGACAAAGTCCCTAGTAACCCCTTTAACTATAAGTAGTTTAGTATAATTCTTAAAGATTTTTCAGTCAGATTGATGCAAAGTAAAATCTAATGCAGAGCATTCTTATCGATCTAAACTTCCTACTTCGTACTTTCCTGACTTGAGAATAAAATCAATTGTCAGTGTTTTATCTTGCGTTTAAGTGAGCAGATCCTATTTGAGAATTGACTGCGTCACCCTGTTTTGTTTCAGCAAGTTACTTATTTAAACATTGAGAATAGACTCTCAATGTTTTTGAAAACAGACATTGTAAGCTGTCAGCAGATAGATAATTTTGGAAATATAATTAAATATACTAGGACTTATACTTACATAAATGGATATATGGGGCTGGTGTGTAACTCAGTAGTAGAGTGGTTGCCTAGCATGAGCGAAACCCTGGGTTTCCTTTCCCTGCACCACAAAGAAAAAATGAAACATAAATGGATTATGAAATATTTATTATTATAAACTTCTACAGAAAGCTAGAATTTGTATTTCTGAAGTAGTCATTCTATCCCATTGGGTTATTCTTGAATGACCAAAGAGAAAATTCTAAAACTCTCTTAATCTAGTAAGTAATTCAGGCACCAAAGGGGATGAAAATATAATTGACAGAACTTTTGTTGTCAGTTCCAGAATTGAAGGCTAATACCTCTTTTGCTCCAAAACCATAACAATAATAGATGAACCGTAACAAGTTGTAAGACATTTAAAATATATAGCCATGACCAAAACTGAGCTCCATATTTCTTGATGGATCCAAAACAGAGCAAGCAGTGACAACAGAGAACAGGGTCTGCTAGAGAGCCTGTTGAGCCTCTGGGCTGGAAGGAGGCAGCAGTGGCTTAGAGCTCACTTGCTCAGAGTAGAGCACTGGAGAGTCCCTAGTGAGAGGCACACACTTGGGTTCAGGTTCTCTGCTAGAAGCTGGAGCTGGATTCAATCTTTTATAGAAAGTCTTGCTGGTTTTTTGCCTTGAGTTTTGCTTTCTTGCAACTATTTTATATTCAAATTGCCAAACACTCTTAACTGTGAGGAAAAAGGGGCTAAACCTTAGGCTATTTGTCTATAAATACAAAGATTGAAAGAAAAGATTGAGAAAACTGAGGCGATTTTCTGAATTAGGTGTTTTTCTTGGAGTCAGAAAGAACTCACCACTACTGCACATTGTGGAAGCTAACAATTTGGACTGACTACAAACAAGTATCTGTTGAGTGAGGAGCTGAGTAAGCTCTGTATTTTTTCCAAACTAGATAGTACCTAGTTTGTTATATGAAATTTCTAATTATTGCCATACTAAGTTCAAATAATTTTAACTGAGGTAAACCTAGTTCTAAAGTTCTTGACTAGAATAATTTTGAAGAACTTCCCTGCCTAATCTTGCCAATGCTATTATAATTGTGAACAGTTACTCATATGTTTATTCCTTCTGTGGCAAGGAGAAAAACACTGACTGTGTTGGGGTTTACTTTCTTTATAAGGCCCAGGACCTCAGTGTCATTGAAGAAGTGATTCGAATGATGTTGGAGATCATCAATTCCTGCCTGACAAATTCTCTTCACCACAACCCAAACTTGGTGTATGCACTGCTTTACAAACGAGATCTTTTTGAACAATTTCGAACTCATCCTTCATTTCAAGATATAATGCAAAATATTGACCTGGTAAGCATATTTTTTGTGATTCTTTTTCTTTTTATATTTTTACTGTGTAGCCCAGCTGGACTCACCCTCACTCTGTAGCCCATTCTGGCCTTGAACTCACGATTCTCCTGCCTCATCCTCTTGAGTGCTAAGATTACACTCCTGGGTAATGCCATCACACCTGGCATTTTTTTTTTTTTTTTTACATACTAAAGCTCGAAAAGTTTAATTTAACAAGCCTTAGCAAAACTTTCTATGGTAAGAGTCTCTTCTTTCAACATTAACTATATTTGCTGTAATAATAGCTATCCTCTGTGTGTACATATGTCTCTACTAAACACACACACATTTAATAGAAGTAAGATCATACTTTATTTTATACAATTCTGTATTTTATTCTATGTAACATTTATATTGCCAGCAATTTTCTATGGTATTATCAATTCTTTGGAAATCTCACATTTTAATACCAATCTGGCCTATGTTGTAGATATCCTAAAATATACTTACCGATTATCCCATTGTTCATTTTATTTCCAATATTTCATATCAATTTGTAATTAATGAACAGTCTGTAAATAAATTTCATCTCACTTTTTTTGTTTGTTTCCTCGAGGTGCTGGGGATTGAACCTAGGACCCCATATTTGTTCAGGCAGGTGCTCCACCACTGAGCTACATCCCCAGCCCCTCATACTACATTTTTTAAATTATGTTTTTGATGTAGTTTTAAAAATGGAATTTTATTGGTTCTTACCATCAGAAGGTGTCTATATTTTCCAGATTCAACACCAGCTGCCAAATTGCTTTCCAGAAACATTGTAGTTTCTGCATCTATATATCATCCTATACTTCTACAAGTGATCTATCGGAGGACCTATTTCATATGCTTTTGTATCTTTGACCATTCAAATTATTTTAATATTTTCCTAGCACAAATAATATTTCACCATTATTTTATTTTAATTTCTCTAATTATTAGAACGGTTAAACATTTTTTATGGTTTGTGAACTTTTGCTTCCTGTCCTTTCCAAAAAGATTTTTGCTAAATTTCATATTGTTGTGTTAGTGATTTCTGATTCACTGGTTTCATAAATAGGATTCAAATAACTATTATGATTCACAGTGCCAGACACCCAACTGAAGTGAGGGGCCAACATCCTATCCTTATGTTACTTACGTGTAGGCAGATATTTAATAATTAAATTGTCACACAAGCATAAATATGTACTTTTAATAAATAAGTACATGTACATAACTTTCTCTAGGGTGTCTACCTATATTAGTTAGCTTTTTGTCACTGTGAACAAAATACCTCAGAAAACAACTCAAAGGAAGAAAGATTTATTTTGGCTCATGTTTTCATAGATTTCAGTCCATAATCCTTATCTTTGTTGATTCTGGGCTCATGGTGAGGCAGAACTTCATGGCGGCAGGAGCATGTGGAGGAGGAGGCAGTTAAATTCATGACAGACAAGAAGCAGAGAACAAATTGAGAGCTGATGGCTCATGCCTGTAATCCTAGCTGCGTGGGGGCTGACATTGGGAGGATCACAGTTTGAGGCCAACCCTGGCAAATAGTTCGTAAAACTCCCATCTCCAAAATAGCCTGAGCAAAGTAGACTGGAGGTGTAGCTCAAGTGATAGAATGCCTTCTTTGCAAGCACAAAGCCCAGAGTTCAAACCCCAGTCCCACCAAAAAAAAGAACAGAGAGCAAGGAGGTTCCCAATGACCTAATTCCTCTAAGCAGGCCCAGCTTCTTAAAGTTTCTACATCCTTCCAAAATAGTGCCTCCAGCTTGGGACCAAGTGTTCAGCACATGAGCCCACTGGGGTCAATTCATAGTCAAACCATAATACTATCTAGTAGTGAATTGCTAAATGACATGTATCATATCTTGGGGCACTGCCAGTTTACATGCCAGCCCATGTTGAGAAAGCCTATCATTTTAGATCCTAGTGTTACCAGTTTCATAATGGCACCTCATTATAGTTCTAACTTGTAATCCCTTTATTGCTGACAAAGATGAGCATCTTTATATGTTTATTGCTCATTTGGATTTCCTGTTTTGTGAAATACTTATTTAAATCTTTTGCCAGTTTTTCTGTTAGCTTCCTAGGAATTTCTTTCACTGTTTTCCTTTGGTAGAACCTAGCTCTGTGTCTTCCTCTTTCTTGGTTTATTCCTTTGAGTTGGCAGAGCAAATGGGGATGATGTTAGATAAAAATTTTAACTGATATATAATAATTATGCATATTTATAGAGTTATTTCATTACATGTATATAATGTAGAGTGATCAAAGCTAATTTGCATATTCATCAACTCAATATGTATTAGTTCTTTGTATTGAGAGCAAAGTTCTCTGTTCTAGATGTTTTGAAGGTTTTTTGTTGCATTTTAATTTCTCTTATTTGAAGATGTTTTTCTTCTTCCTTTATATTTGACTCATTCTCTCTAGACGCATTTCTGGTCTCTTGATCCTAGTGTTCTGAAATTTCATGATTTGCTGTACATTGGTTAATTTTATTGGGCACTTGGAGGACCCAATTAGTCTAGAGATTCATGCTCAGTACTATCAAATATTCTTTTAAAATATTTATTCCCTGTTACTTCTTCTTTATGAAAACCTTATTATTCTTTGGTAATCTTCTAATGTCAATATCATTAAATCTTATTTCTTGGGCTAATCAGGGTCTGAGGATATGAATCAGGCAGCCTCCTGCCTGGGGTCTATCAGCATATTTGTCAGGGTTTTAAAAACCAGATTGAAAAAAATCCTCAGCCAGGATTTGGAGAGGGTGGAAAATGTCTTCTAAGTGAAAACCTCCTATTTGCTTTTAGGGGGGCAGCAGTACATGGATGTGTGCATAGTTTCTGATCAGATTTCAAAATATTGTCCATTCTCATAATACAATTTACCAGAGTAGGTTAATATTTTGCTCATCCCAGACAAATCTTACATAGTTGGTAGGTACAGAATTAAAGACAGCTTTAGGCCGTAAGCAGCCTCACTTCCAGACTGTACAACACATAGGATGTATCAACTGCTGAGTACTCAGGACTCCTCACAATTACTGGTGAGTTTAGCTACAGTCGAATGTGCTATTGCAAACCTATTCATTGATCTGCTCAATGTCAATACCATGATTGCTAACATAGAGAAGTAAAAATTAAAACTCTTTGCTGTCAATTCAGTTAGTATTTTCATTAGCTTTCCTTATACATCACAGTTGCAACCTTGGCAGAATGTTTTGCTTTGCACACTCACCATTTCCCTAAGTTTATATCAGCATCATTCAGTATTGTTAACAGCCCTGGGCAGTTGGGTGCCACTACCATCAATGTAGTCAAGGTTATGCAAAATTTCACACCAGCAATATTTATTTCTTCAAGTGACACTTGACATTTTTAGGCAAATCTTTACTTTTTCACCATTATAAACCAGTACTCACATGAAGATTTGTTGATATTTAGGATATATGAGAACATTCTCAAGCTGGTTCTCAAATATTTCTTTTCTGGCTCCATCTCCTTCTTATTAAAACTCCGGGTTTAATTGATATAAACTCCTCCTTTTAAAATTGAGAAGTATTAGCATTAATAAGACTTTGTAACATATTATTGACCATGGAATGCTCATCACACATTACCCTGTTGTCTTTGGTGAGATCGAAGATTTTTGACAGCTGGATAGACTATGGTTTATAGTTCAAGAATTAATGTGAATTGTGTGCTTGGTAAAAGATGAAAATGTAGAAACATTGAGGATAGGAGAAAGCAATCCCTGCTCTGATCCTTGCTGTCAAAGAAACCATCCAGAACTCAAGCAAGCACTTATCCCTTCCTCTTAACAGTTTTTTCCTAATAGCAGTCTTCAGGATTATAATGTTGAGCAGAAATTATTTTTCTTTATAAAAGCAACTATATAAACTAACTATTTATTTCTAAAAAGGCTACTTCATGGGCCAGATGTAGAGGCTCAAGCCTCTAATCATAGCTTCTGGGGGACAGGGGGAGAGAGGAGAGAGATCAGGAGGCTCACACTTCAAGGTCAACCTGGGCAAAAAGTTGGTGAGACCCTATCTCAATAAATCTCTGGGCATGGTGGTATGTGTCGTCATCCCAGCTACCTGGGGAAGCAAAAATAGGAAGATCAAAGTCTAAGCCGACCCAGGCATAAAGTGAGAAACCCTGTCTCAAAAATAGTCAACACAAAAAGGCTGGCAGAGTGGCTCAAGTGGTAGAGTACCTGCCTAGCAAACACGAGGCCCTGAGTTCAGTTCAACCTTCAGTACTGCCAAAAAAAAAAAAAAAAAACTACTTTGTGCTACTTGTAGATTTGTCCAAATTTATTCATTCTATTTTTTGCTTGTACTGTTTTTGTAACTGAAACACTGAATTTATGATTCATGATGCTCATGAGTAAAGGTTTAACAAACCCCTTTCTCTTGTACATGAGAAAATGGGTTAAGCTATTTCCAGCTCAGTGCCCTGGAAAGCTAATGAAAGTGGAATGTCACCTGTGTCACCAGGCAACCTTGCTGTGATAAAATGATAATATAATAAAATGACAGTTGATTGATAAGCTGAGTCTGCACTAGGAAGAGCTGTAAATACCCAATGGGAATCAAGAGCTTTGGGATTCTCTGAGCAAGAGAGCTCTCATAACCAGGCATGTTCTTTATGGAGACCAAAAGCTGAGACTGTCACAGAATATTATTTCTGTTTGGAACATGGTTTCTTAGCTATGGTAGCGGTTGCATCTGCCCCAATAGTTATATTCTCTTGCACCTGAGCTATTATTTGAGAGGCCAAAGACTAGCTCCAAAAAAACCTACTGCACGGATTCACAAGAAAAACAAAAGCCTGTGGCTGTGCTGTTGGTGTGCTATTTTTTCTGTCCTTTTATCCTTTTAAAATAATAATGCCAAGTGTAGCCTTCTATTGTCAGGACACTCTTGGTGTCTAATCAGGCCTAAGAATATCACCCGAGAAGGGGCATTTCAAGGGTGAGATAGT